TTTTTTTTTTTTTTTTTTTTTTTTAATTTTTAAAAACTCAGAAGCTGATCAAATATCGGGTTAAATATCGGTGGGGTGGCCGATGTCCGATATTCAGTTTTAAGGCCGATACCGATAGGGGGCCGATTATATCCTGCATCCCTAAAATAAACCATTTCACTTGCTTCCTCTGCAAAGTTTAAACAACAAGGCAATGAGGTCAAGAGTTCAGTCCAAAAAAGTTTAAATCAATCCTCTGGACTTTGTTTCTAAGTTTGAAGACGTTTCTTTTCCATCCAGGAAGATTTTTCAATTCAAAATGTCAGAAAAAGCATTGAGTTCCAGGTTTTATACAGAAGAGCGCCCTCCTCTGGACAAAGATCTGTTGTCCATCTACACCTGATGGACAAAGGACATTCTTTTGAGGACCAGAATATTCACATTTTGGACAAAGAAGACAGGTGCTTTGAGAGGAAGGAAGCCATCTATGTTAAGAAAGAAAAACCAACCTTAATCAGAGCATATTAGTTTTATTATAATTTAGTTTGTTGCAAGGATTTTACAGTTTGAAGAAATAGAAAATGACCCCATATGCCAACCGCCACAAGGATGTGCAAGGAAGGGCTATATATACTGCATGCAGATTTCATAACGCCCCCCTTTCAGAGACATAGACAGGTATGGGGCATTGCAGGCTAATAAAAGAAGCCAAACGAACCCCATTCCAGAGGGGGGGACCCGTTCATCCGTTTCTATTTGCATGTTTTCTAAACTAAAACCAGGCTTTGTTGGGCTGCTGGATAAAACCTGGAACTAAACGCTATTTCTGACATTTTGATTTGAAAAATCTTCCTGGATGGAAGAGAAACGTCTTCAGACTCAGAAACAAAGACCAGAGGATTGATTTTAAACTTTTTTGGAATGACTGAGAATCTTCACCAGCATATTCTCTTTTCTTTGTATACAGAATACAAGATGTCCCATTAGTGCTGAAACTAACGCTTATTTTAGTGCCTACTAATCCACTGGTTGTTTTTTCAATAGTCTGGATTATCTCCTGTGGTCCCTAACAGATGAAAACGTGTTTAGATTAGAAATAATTACAAATAACTGTTAAAAAAACAAACATATTTAACTGTTTTTTATGTTAGATGGTGAATAGATGACTTGAACATTTATCCAGATGATTTTCTCCTCATATTTCTCCTCTTTCAGTTTCGCTTTCGCCTCCTTTATTGTTTTTGACTTTCTGACTTTTTGACTGATTTTCAAGAAGAGAAAAACACTTTAGCCTGAAAGTCTGTGATCATTAATCCTCAGATAAATCGTAAGTAGACCTGAAAGATCGAGCTTTTACGAGTTATTCTGTTTAAATCATCCTGTGGTCTAACCTTTTCTGTTTTGTCTCCCCCTCTGGGAATGTTGCCAGGATTTAAAATAACTGATAACTATTTCACTTAATCTTTTAACTTTAGCATTTCATTCTTAGGTATTATGTGTTTTCCATCTAAAACAAAACAACATAAATATGTTGCTTAAAAGCAGAGGTGAAAAGTAAAGTACAAATGCTTCCTTACTGCAGTAGAA